TTGAAATGTTTTAATTCACAAAAAATCAATGCAAATAAGTGTTTGAAAGATCATCAAAAAGCTTCTCAAACGTTAACACAAAACCCCAAAGAATCAAATATGCATTGAATTAACGATTCTTTCATCCCTTTATAGTCAAACAAATTATATAGTCATCTGTTATGCGAACACAACCTCTCTATGAATAATATAAATAGTAATAAAAATTATAATTCAATTAAAGAGTTAATCCAATGATATGATGAAAATGGAGTAATGAACTCATTTTCCAATTACTTTTAAACTATACAACAAAACAAAAGCAATTGAAAATCTAATTTGTTATTGCATTAAATAATGTATTATATTATATAATTTATATATTAACATAAATATATTTATAAAATATGCAATTTTAATAAAATTTATATTAAAATATATCACATATTTAGTGCTTTCATAAAAATATAAGTGTTTTACTGTTGTGTGCAATAAATGTTAATTGAAGGCAACCGTAAGATTGAAAATAAAAATCATATTTTTATTTCTTTCGCTACACTTATAGCGAGAAATGAAAACCAAAAACTCAATAAAAAAGAGACTCCGAAAGGGATCTCAAGTATTGTTCAAACATTCAAACCAAAGAGAGTTAAGACAAATCACATACAAAGTCATCACTGGTATAGACCTTACTATTGGCTGCTTATGTAATGTCAATGCTTTTCCACACAATCCCAAGCCTTTATAAACACATTGACAATCAATTAAATAATTTTTAAATTTTCAAACAATACCTAAAGCTTATAATCAATTGAATTAACGGTGAAAATCATTTATAATGCTTTACAAAAGCCATTATTTCATCACATAATACATGTATTATTGATTATACCATATAATGAATGCATATATTATAGTAAAAACACAACAATAATAATAATAAATAAATTAAATAATAAATTTTATTTGAGGAAAAAGTGAGATATCTATTATAGCAGTGAATATCACTATAAATTGTTTGATTTATAAGATTTAATGTAATATAAAGACAATTCAATCGCTGTTATCAATACATATATTGAATCCGGAATTGAGGCTTAAATCACTGAAAAGCATATCAAATGCTTGAGATATTTGGCTTCAATTGAGTACTTTTTAATACATATTGAATATACATATCGTTTAATAAGAGATGAATTGATAAATAGTTGTAATCTTATAATGAATTCAAACATCAATATAAGTGTCAATCAGTATAACAATAACGAGTCAAATGTGTGGCAATGACTGAAGGGATGAAGACATGGATATACAACACAACACATACCTTCTCTGGCCTTAAGATATACAGTGTTTGCGACAATGTTTTCCAATTCCATTAATTCCATCAACTGATCCACTCGTGAGGTCTGGTCTCCACAGCACTACACAACACATACAACAACACCGACACCACAGACACGACCGGTGCTAACGATCACAGACCGCAACCACAGCGCAGATCACTATCACTGGTGGCCATCGCTTCCTCGAGAGTGGCATTCATGGCATACCATGGCGTCAGCGAATCCACACCACCTCTTGTGGGCAACACTTATATGATGGACACTTTGGCACACATTTGCGACAATCAAAACACAACACAAACCAAGCGATCAAATGATTCAAATCAATGCCTAATACTATACAACACTCAACACAACGATATTCACAACACTTGTACAGCAATACTGTATTGAGTCGACAGACATCACACACACTAACTATAGTACACTCCTATATAACGTTACGATTACTATTCCTCTGCTCACTAAGTCATCCCCTGTTTGCCCCTTAAGAGAGGGTTCGCTCATTGCTTTAGCCTTGTATTTGGGATGAATTATACTATAAATGGTTCGCATATAACGTAAGTGTGTGTGAAATGAATGTAAATTGTGTGAAGCACAAATTATGCTGAATTGAGAGAATCGTATATTCAATTCAGTATACAGTAATCGCTACAATTCAACTAATTATTCAAACCATTACCACTTCCAACACATGCAATGTTAACTCGTCTACTATTAGCACAGTTATAGCCAATCATACCTTATATTAACACTCATCACAGAAATCAGTCCTATTTTCAAATTAAATTCTTATCAATTTTTATATGCATTAATTATAGGTTATAATTATAACAAAGTTAACTTTCAGTGCCCCCTCTCCCCACATCTCTCTCTCTCTCTCTCTCTCTCTCTCTCTCTCTCCCCTTTTACTAAAATGGTTCGGTTCAGACACTCATTCGCAGTCATCCTTACGTCCGAATCGGTGTCATCGCAACAGACGAGGAATGTCTCGATCGTTATCCCAAGAAATTTGTGATGTCTTCGGTGAGACGAACGGCCGCTTCTTCTCTCTCTCTCTCTCTCTCTCTCTCTCCTCTCAATGATATGGTTGTGATTGAATGATGTGATAGAATATTGATTCAAATTTTGAATGCATTGATCAAAATATGGGCGCATTTTTCAATGCATTTAATCTTAAAACAATATTTTTATTTCATTAATAGATTAAAACAATTTTTACAATAAATTATTAAATATATGGGGAAAATCATTGAATATCACATATCATATGCTTTTCTAAAAATTAAAATCAAATAAAAAAATTAATTTAATTAAATTTTCGACTCTTATTTTATAGATAAGTAAAAAATTAAATATTTTTATGACTTTATTCTCATGGTTTGCAACAATTGTATAATAAGTGAAACAACAATAAGACTTTAGACAACGACCAAATGTGACCCAACATTATGTGATAGCGATTGTTATAAGACTGTCTTAAGACTTAGTGATCTGTAAATGTCTTAAAACCTGAGAATATGGAGAATCGGGTTCTCCAACACTTTGAAATGTTGTACGGAATGCCTCTCTGTTTGGCTCACTTTTCAACTAGAAATTCAGTTCAAAATACATTAAATGTTAATATATTCTATCAATTAATGGCATCAAGTCGTACCTCATTGTAGAAGTTATAGCAGACAATGAAAAACAACTGGCGGTCATCATCTTCTAGGAGTCCGAAACGGGTTTGATTGTATGCAAACCTATCATTAATAGACACATAGAATTCATTTTAATTATGCAAATGTCAATTATATTGATAATATCATACGCGCAACGGATCCATGGATTGACTGAAGCGCTGATGAGGAAACTGGTGAGCGACCAAATGGCCGCACATATGGGACTCAATTGTGTAAAACTGGAAAGCGATAGAATGACCCAATCGTGCACTATATCTAAACGCGATTCTGTTTGCAGTTTATTAAACACCTAAAACACGTGCGACAAAAGAGTTTAATTGAATTGTATTTGAGTTAATGTAATTGAAAAATAGTACCACATATAGAATATTCGCTAAATGCTTGGCATGTGTTTGCTGTCCGGACAGGAATTCTCCGATGCATTTGTTTAGTATGTCTTGAGTCGGGAAAAATTCGCATAAAAAGTGGGGCAAAACATTGCATATCTGTTGCGCTTCGTATGAGAGACAGGTCTTGAGTCTCTCGAAAATGACGGCCAACTTCTCCATCGCTAATAAGAACTCTTCGCTGTCGTCCATATTCTTCTCCAAATCGAGTCCAACTGAACCGACTGTCGGATCAAATATTACAAAGTGCTCTAAAATAGTGTACAACAAACTAATGTATAAAATTGCAAATATTACCAAAATAAGTGGCCGACAATATAAGCTGAAAAGCCAACAGAGCATCCAATTGACAATTAGATGACTTAAATCGATCCAAAGCTGACTTTACGATTAAATTTGATTCTTTGATCGCAAACTTTTCGCTAAGAATCAGATTCTCTAAACCGTTGACAACAATCGGATATACTTTTGAGTTCTTATCAGTTAATACTTTCAACGAAAGCTTTAAACAAATGATAAAAATTATATGTTATATCAGTTTTGTGAGCAAAGAATAAGACAATTAATACTTGAAATATTTTTTGCCCAAATTCACTATCAGACAGATCTTCGAGAAAGAATTCAATCAAATGAAACGCCAGTTTCCACATGTGCTGCACGTGTTCTGAGTTATGACTACTCGGCCTAAAGAATCACAATTATAAGCATTAATAATGCGATTAAAATGACAATAAATAAGTTCTTACAAATTATTATCGGATAAATGTTTGATTAAATAATCGGAAGCGATCGGCAAAAAGGCTGCTTCCCTTCCATTAGATCCAATGCCACGGAATTCAAGAATATATTTGAGTCCATGAATGGTCGCAATCCTTGTCGGCAAATAATGACTCTTCAGACTCACTTCAATACATTTCTTGCATTTATCTACAATTTGCTCGTTTTCCAGACCTAATACTGCGCTAGACTTACAAATACCTACAATCAGATATTGAGACATAATCTCGTCTTCAGATATCTGTGCCATTCGATGGAGTTCTAAGAATGTGTCCAAAAGCCACTCATATTGAATCCTTTCAGTAAATAAATCCGATAAAAGTACTATTGAGTGGCAAATCTCAGTGAGTAATGGCAGTTGTATTGTCTGATTTGCACTCAATAACTGACCGAAAAGGTCCAGAAGAAAATGCAAACAAGAATTTAAATCAATGTCAAGTTTGTCGTGATTGGATGTCATGTTTTTGCCAATATTGGAACCGTTTACTGGACTTAAAGGACTGTAGTCTGAGGAGGAAGAGGTGGACGATAAAGAAGGCGATAATTCGTTTGGATTTAAACTCTTGATTGAATGTCTCATCAATTGGATGGAAATCTGTCCGATTTCGTAGATATTATGGAGTGATTCGTCATTAGTTGATGCCATGGAAGAGATGGCAGAAATGAGTGGTTCGCGAACTAATTGTAATTTCACGCCATGAATGGAGTGGAGAAAAGTAGCCATTTTCTCATTCTTCTGGTAAATAAAGCGACTCTTAATGGGATTTCCCGGTTGTGGCGAAAGAGTGGATAATAATAACAATTCTGTGATGGCTTTTGTGGTGATTATACATATGTTGATGCGATCCGATTGGTCTTCAGTTGACTCGACATAAGCACTGTTAGCGCCCAAAACGCCCAGTAATGTCATCCAAATCTCTTCGAACTGAACCCTACAAATCCAACCCAAACTCATCACTCGATAACAGAATTGATTTAAAATATCCTTATAATGAAGAAATTCTGATGGAATTGTCGGCACAATTGTTCCGAAATCTCCCGAAAAAACCGGATTCCAAACGCTTTCGGTCTTAATATTCCAGACAGAGATGGGAACCATTACGAAGCTGTTCACAAGCGGTAGGCGTGCCGTCAAGAGAATCACTTTCTTCAGGAGATTTCGCATTACTGGAGGAACGCGTCTGAAGTCGTGTTTGTCATTCTCGAGAAAGCAGACCAATTGGGCTAATCGTATGCACGCTCTGTGCGGATGCTTCCACTCGGGGTTCTCTTTCTCAGATGTGCCAAAACTTTGCGGTTCTTCCACTTTCGGCAGTTCACCAAAAACTAAATAACAAATTTAAATCACTTATAAATGAACAGACAATTAATACAAATAATTATAACACATACAGAGTTGTGTGAAAGAATGAACGGCGGATATGATAGAGCACTGATAGCTAATGAGCTCTTGTGTGGAGAGATTTGAGAAAATTGAATTGCAATTTAACGCAGATTTCATAATCCTTAACACAATGATTATATGAGTGAATGAGACGTTTTCAATGGCTTCAGTCATATATTGAAGCGCTTCCGCATAGAGAACAGTGACTCTGACTATATTTGCCAACAAATCAGTAGCAATACTGCGCTCCGAGTGATGGTCCAGAAAAGCCAAGAATCCATTGGAAAGTTTAAATAAATAGTTCCAGATATTAGACTGACTGAAGAGCTCAATGAGTTTGTCCCGATGTCGGGCCTCTTTCGGAGTACTCATCTCGGAATGGGTGAGGAATGCAAAGTGAGGCGCCGGTAGTATACTAACAAAGTAACTGACGTGTTGTAGGACTGCATTGAGTGAAGCCTTCAACAGATTGATGCGATTCATTACCGCCGAAAACATTATTTTTGTGTTTGACTTGTCGTCCTCTTCAATGATCTGATCGCCAAACGCTATACAATCGCCCAATAATTCCAACGCAAACTCTTTCGATGATAGTATGGAAACAATGTCTTCGTATGAAAGCTTATTGAGAAGATGTGCCGCTCTGTGACTCTTGCTATGCTTTTGACAGTATTTGTTCAAAACAGTCAAAAACCAATCTTTGTTTAATTCGGGAATTTCATCCATCACTGAGCTATCGCTTAACGGATGAGAAGTTTGTATGGATTTTTCATCGTTTGATTTGGTTTTAAATGACTCCAAACATGATATCAACTTTGAATATCTGTATGGATTCAAAGAGAGCAACAGTTTATCCAAATCCTGAGCCGTTAATTGATTAGCGCTTTGATTGGAATACGATTCGAGCGAAGAGGTCATCGAATTCAAGCGTTTGATCACAAGATTTTCCGCTTCACTCATGAATAAGTAATTCGATTGAAGACTTGGATTCGCTATAATCTTCTCGATTAGGAAAGTAATGAGTGAAACGGATTGTGTCGGATGTACGCGACCTAAACAGTGCAATAAACGCCGACAAAAGCTACCGATCCTTAGATTGTCGTCACATCTGGCGTTAATCGCTTGAATGAATAGACCGCTGGACGCGGAGTTGCGATGAATGGCACAAATGAATTCACTCACTGGTAATTCGTGACACAATTTGATGATTTGGTTGATATTCTGGACGATAAGCCATGTCATGTGTTCGGCATCGTTCATATTCTCGCACACAAAGTCACAGAACAATATCAAAGAACCTCTTCGTATGATCTCAACGGTCGGTGAAAAGACGAACACGTTTTTATTCTTGTTGTTAACACTTCCCCTTCGTTTGCCGTTTGTCTGGAGCTTAGAGTTGGAAGAGCTTAAGCCGTTATGATTGGGACGAATGAGTTGATTCCAGAGACCGTCTTCGTTGTTGTCTTCGTAGTTGAGAAGCATTAAAAGGTTAAACCATTGGAGAGCGAGTGTCGGACAGTTAGACATTATGCTCAAGAAAGATGTGTTAGTCTTTTGGAGTGAGAATCCACTCAAATAGCTGTTTCTTTCGCTGCATTCGTCGAACTCATACTTTTTAATCAAATTCATGGCCGCTTTAGCCACGCGTCTAAAGGAACCCGATTGAAACATATGGGTTAATATCAACATATAATTAGCCAACTGTTGGATCAAGAAATCGCAATGAGCTCTAATGTCTTCGTAGATTGTGTTGATGCGAATCGAGATCTCATGACTGCATAACTCGATTATTTGCAGCAGATATTCGGCAAACATGTCCTCCGACTCTAAAGTCATGGAATCGTTTCTATTGGAAATCGAAGACATATGAAATGGTATGGCATTTGTCGACGTGAAAGCAGAGGTAGGAATCACTGGTAGACCAAAGGGTCCGACTGTCACTATAGAGCTCCTCATATCTTGGAGTCGGGCCAACACCACTTCCTCTTTGACCTGAACTATGACTATACGGAGAATAACTAATATCAAAGAAGTCCATCGATGGAAGTAATAATAATTATCAATGATGTCGGGTTGCGGTGCGGCGAACAGCGCTTTCAACAGTATATCCACGGGTCTGAAAACACTGGGCGACACGCACTCAAAGAGTTGGTGTAACTGTTCCAGCGCTTCGTACGAATCAATTTGAATTGATTGTCTCACGAGTTGTGGTAACAAAATATCAGTGATTTGTCGCGAAATCTTTTTCCACTTTTCTTCGCCGTCTTTCTTGCTTTGTTTTGTGACAATCACTAGAATTTGTAGTATTTCTGGGAATTGGACTAATTTGAGACAATTGGCGACAACCACTTCCCGCTGTGCCTCCAATTCTTTGCTTGAATCAACTTTACTGGCGTTTCGCAGAAGAATCAGATCTTCGACAATGGGTTGCAGTGAAGGCAACGCAAATGACTGCATAACTCGATTATTTGCAGCAGATATTCGGCAAACATGTCCTCCGACTCTAAAGTCATGGAATCGTTTCTATTGGAAATCGAAGACATATGAAATGGTATGGCATTTGTCGACGTGAAAGCAGAGGTAGGAATCACTGGTAGACCAAAGGGTCCGACTGTCACTATAGAGCTCCTCATATCTTGGAGTCGGGCCAACACCACTTCCTCCTTGACCTGAACTATGACTATACGGAGAATAACTAATATCAAAGAAGTCCATCGATGGAAATAATAATAATTATCAATGATGTCGGGTTGCGGTGCGGCGAACAGCGCTTTCAACAGTATATCCACGGGTCTGAAAACACTGGGCGACACGCACTCAAAGAGTTGGTGTAACTGTTCCAACGCTTCGTACGAATCAATTTGAATCGATTGTCTGACGAGTTGTGGTAACAAAATATCAGTGATTTGTCGCGAAATCTTTTTCCACTTTTCTTCGCCGTCTTTCTTGCTTTGTTTTGTGACAATCACTAGAATTTGTAGTATTTCTGGGAATTGCACTAATTTGAGACAATTGGCGACAACCACTTCCCGCTGTGCCTCCAATTCTTTGCTCGAATCAACTTTACTGGCGTTTCGCAGAAGAATCAGATCTTCGACAATGGGTTGCAGTGAAGGCAACGCAAAACTAATTTGAGACAATTGGCGACAACCACTTCCCGCTGTGCCTCCAATTCTTTGCTTGAATCAACTTTACTGGCGTTTCGCAGAAGAATCAGATCTTCGACAATGGGTTGCAGTGAAGGCAACGCAAACTTCTGCGGGTATTGTCCGCTGGCGAGCATTCCATCGCATAATTGTATGATTTTGGGAATACCTATAATAGGCTTCGAGTGATATCTTTCGTACGATAATAGGATCAAAAAGAAAAATATGTGACCAATTAGTCGGTCGTATCGATCGAAATGTCCGCTCTCTATGAACTCAAACTGCTTTAACACAAAACCAATAAATATCTGTTCGGAATCGAGGAGACAGTAATTGACTCTCAATTGAACCAATTGTGACAATAGGTCGAGAACTTCGCACTGAAGTTGAATATCACTTGTAATCGTGTATTGCTTTAACGCTTTGATGACAACGGGCTCGAAGAGCCGTATGTGTGATGTGAGCGAGGCTTTGGAGTTCAAGCCAGAGCTCGACTGACCGGACGATATGTTTTTATCCAATATAAACGAAACCCTTTTCTCTATTTTCTTCCGAAGCCAACCGCAAAATGTGGGATCGATTTCATCGTTGGATCCAAAGCTGGAACTATTTCTCGAAGACATTGACGCATAAAATTGTGTAAACTTTGCGTACGGAGAGGACAGACATGTGTTGTAGAGACCATCGGTTTCGGAATAATTAGGAATTCCGTTTGTGAATGGATTCCTTTGTGGGGTTGAGCTCTCATTAGCGACGGGCTCTTCTTCTGGCACTTCATTTTCATCACTTTTATGATTATTTGTGAACATTATTACAAAATTAGTGCCAAATATACATTTCAAAAGCTGTCGAACATTCTTGACGGCAAGACTCGGCTCAATAGTGAACACTATTTTTAAATAATACAGAATTTCTTCAGCGAATTTACTGATGAACTTAATGGTCGACAGTTCCAGAAGGCGTCCAAAGACATCGAGAGTAATATGAAGAAGCGCTGACATCTTATCTCCACTTAAATCCATAGAAGTCTTATTACTGAGATATGAGGCTCTAATCATTTCGCTTAAGCGGACAAGAAGTGTATTCGAGCCGTATTTTGTGAATTTGT